CTCTCTCTCTCTCTCTCTCTCTCTCTCTCTCTCTCTCTCTCTCTCTCTCTCTCTCTCCCCCCCTACCTCCCTCCCTCCCTCCAATATATTCACTTCCAAGGAATCTCTTCCTACACTGCAGCACTGCTTTAAGAACATCTTCAGCTCTCAGCCTCCATTATTGGGAGTTAATTTAGAAGTAAAGATCAGACTTTGAATTCAGATAGATCCATGTTCAATTTTGAATGCCATCACTTTCTAGCTGTGTGATCTTGGGCAAGTTTCTTAGCCTTTCTGAACTTCAGTTTCTTCATCTGGTAAACTGGAGATAGAAGTATTTACTACCTGGAGTTATGGTGAGTACCAAATGAGGTTACGGAGGATGAAACACTTAAGACAGTTCCTGGCAGCACTGGTCAACTCCTAAGTGGCCATTATAGCCACATTTCTCTGAGTTTAAAGGGAGTACTTTGGGGAAGAGAAAGGTGAAGAGACAGAGAGAGAGAGAGAGAGAGAGAGAGAGAGAGAGAGAGAGAGAGAGAGAGACAGAAAAGGAACCGGAACCTTTCTGGGATTCCCTTTTCCCAATTGGGAAAATCAGTCCCACAACTGGCAGGGGGCACTTGGCCACAGCAGTACTGGGTCTGGCAATGCCAGCTCTTTGAAACTCAGAGGATTTAAAATTTAAATGTCTTTGTGTGCAAGATAAACAAATCTACCACTCTGCAGGGAGAGGGAAACTTGGCTGCAGCCCCAGAACTTCCCCCACCCCTAACCCTCTCTGAACTTCCTCTTGTGGTTTCTGTAGAGTACAACCTGTTCTTCACAGCCAAGGAAGGGGACAGGGGGCATGCCAAAAGTTCCACAGTACCCCAACCTAGAAGCAGGGAAGAAGGTGTGGGGTGAGAGCAGAGGGGCAGCCTGATGGCTGTCTGTATAGTTCTGAACTTTCACATCCTGCTAACCTGCTATGTACCTGGTGCACTGTTCTTTCTTTCCCCCTCAATCTCCAGCATCAACAATACACCTCTCTCTCAAAGACAGGTAGGCAGAGGGACCTGCCTGGGGCCTCCCCAAACCTGTGCAGAGGGCCTCTGAGAGCAACTGAGAGTTTCAGAAAGGAGGTAGAAAAATTGCTGGAGTTCAGGGGAACTGTCCTAAGGCTGGCTCACATCACAGGCATTGTCCCAGCCTGCCTGCAGGCCCCAGGGCAGGGCAGCTTTGGACAAAGCAGGTGGTGACCACCTTCAACTTGTTCCCACTCCTAGACTAGCTTGTTTACTCAGCAACCAAGCTGGGATGTTCCTCTTGCAATCTAGAATGTGAGGTCTCTGCTAATCTTGTGGGGTTTAAACATTTTTATTATTATTTTTTTTTTTTAGTGGTGCTGATGTTTGAACTCAGGGCTGCCCGCTTGCAAACCAGGTACTCTACCACTTAAGGCACACCTTTAGCCCATCTGCACAACAAAATGGGTGTCTTAATTTCCCACACCCCCAGATCCAAGCCCTTCCCATCCACGATGAGAAGGTATTTCTCACATCTAACCTTGGTTTGTTCTGAACACACACACACGCACACATGACCCTCAGGCTCAGGAAAAGGTACCAGCTCTGTGCAGTCCCCACAATCCTGAGAAAGCCTGCTGGGGTCTCTGTAAACAGTACAGCGCCCAGCGCCCAAGCTCCCCTAACTCCATCTGCAACATCCAAGACACAGTATCATGAGGCCCATGAACTCTCTTTAGTATTTTTGGTGGTACTGGGGTTTGAACTCAGGGCCTCGTGCTTGCTAGACAGGCGCTCTACCTCTTGAGCCACTCCACCAGCCCCTTTTTTGTGTTGGGTATTTTCCAGATAGGGTCTTACCGAGGCTGGCTTTGAACTGTCAGCCTCCTGATCTCTGCCTCCTGAGTAGCTAGGATCACAGGTGTAAGCCACAGGTGCCTGGCTACTGTTGCATTTCTTACCACGTGCTTCCTACCTTGTCTCCAGAGTGCCAGTCTCTCCTGCCACCTCACCCGCCTACACTGCTGTTGGAGCCACCTTCATGAGAAGCACGACTAACCATGTTACTATTTTGCTGAAACTCAATAGTCTCCCCTTATTCTTAGACTAAAGCCCACACTCTGCAGCCTGGCACACTACCACCACCACCACCACAAGAATAAACAGGGCCTCCTAAGTCAAGTGAGCTGGGTTTAGATCTCAGCTCTGCCAGTACGTCTTGCTCTCTCTTTAGGAAATATCCTCGCCTATAAAATGGAGGTGATCCGACTGGTATTTCACAGCGCTATCAGGAGGATTAAGGGAGATGCTACATATAAATCACTTAGCAGTGCTATATAACCATCAGTCAGCCTTCCAAGCCTTTATGGAAGAGAACAGGAAGGAGAAGGCTTGAGACCACGGAGGGTCATGTTCAAGTACTGAGCACAGACTGTGAGACTGCTGGGATAATCAGAGATGCTTTCAACTTCAAGTCACGGGGGGAAGAAGCTCTGACTTGTTCATGCCATTATGTTCCCAACATCTACAGATAAGAGTATGACCAGGGCGAACAGTGTTAAATGAGTTCATACACTGTCACTAATCATGTCTCCAAAGGAGCCAGAGAGAAAACTACAGAAGAACCTTTGGGACCCAATGGCAGAGCCACTTCTCCACTCACCTCTGGTCCCAAACCCATCTGAGGTGATGAGTAGAGAAAACAGTCCCAGAGTCCTGGATGGGAAGTGGGCATCCACGATGGTGTAGACTGTCACATTACTCCCAAGTGGACCTTCCCAGCTGCACTCAAGTGGGAACTCCTGGGATGTTGGGAACCAGTGCAACAACAACACATCTTTCCCAGAATTCATCCTGCTCATTCCCACCTCTAGTCAGTAGGTGAAAGAGAACAGCAATTGTTTCTGGGTCACCCACAGATTCCAGTGTCCAGCTAACAGTTGGTGTTCAGTCCAGCTGAGAGGAGTAAGTGCTCCCAGAGACTTCCCACCAACTTCTCTGCCTGGTGAACTATGGATCCTCCAGAACCCAGCCCAGATGTCTCTTTCTCTCTGAAGCCTCTCCAGCCAGAGCCCTTAGCACCTTATCTCTGTCTGTCTGGTTGTGACCCGCTACCTGTACTCTCAGCATCCCACACAGCGCCAACCAAGCACTTAGTTACGCTCAATCAACGCAAAAGAATACTTAGTAACAGCACTCAACTTCTTCATTTACTCCCCTTGTCCACACTTAAGAGACACAGGAGGTGAAGACCATCACTTGTGTACCAGCAGACTCTGCAGAGGGACAACGCCGAGCCCTGTTCTCTGGCCTCCCTCCTGGGCCCTGGCTGGCAGCTGAACCCCACGCTGGTCAGCTCGGCTCCTTGCCTCCCATCTTATGGCTGAGATAACAAGTGAAGACCCCTCCGGCTTCCACGTCAGCTTTTGGGGGTAGGCTGTGCTGATGTGTACACGCTTAGAGAGCCCCAGGCTTTGGGTGACTTCTCCGTCCTTTAACTCCAGGTGGAAAAGCACACTCGGGGAGAAAGTAAACTTGAGCTTGGGGGGCCAGCGGTGAGGTGATGAGGACGCGGCGACCCGCTTAACCCACCCACTTCTGACCCCCAACTCCAGGTCTCCAGCCTGGGCTTTGACTAAACTGAAGACAAAGGGGGCGGGGGCGCCGACAGCCCGTCCAGCCTGGCTTCTCCAGCCCCCAAGCCTACCTCTTGGCAGGCGAGTCCCCGGAGCACGGATCGTGGCCGCAGACGCTCTGTCTGCCGCCTGGGCTTCGGTCTTGGGGTAGCGCGGGTGGTCGCGACCACCAGCCGTGGGGAGCCAAATGCATCCCTCCCCAGGCTCCCAAACAGAGCAGTGTCCACCCCCGCAGGCGCGACGTGTTTACAAAGTCGGCGCCGCGCCGCGGACCGGAGCTGAAAGCTGGGCAGGAAGTGGGGAAGAAGGGGCGGGGGAGACAAAGGGGCTGGCTGCTGGGCTCAGCCCAGGTCTGGTCCCGGACACCCCTTGGCGTGGCCGAGCGGCTCCTTGGGAGTCACCCCACCCCACCCCACCCGCCGCCTGCAGACCCCGCCCCAGGTCCCCCAGGTGAGCTGGTGGGGACCTGCGGGGACTCAGGTGTGCGCACGAGGGCTGCTGCTACTCTTGCACGCGCTACTAGGAAGTAAACAACACCAGGCGTGATTTAAACTACAACACGTCAGGCACCATAACAGACTGGGCTATCTCATTTCCCATTACCACGAGGGAAAACCGAGGCACGGTGAGAACAGGCAATGTGTCCAAAGTCCTACAGCTGGCAAGTGTTAAGGATTCAAACCCCGCGATTGCGTCCTGCCAGGCACACCCCACCCCCACCTCTTCGCGGTCCCCGTGGAGTCCCTAGTTCAAATGGGCTGATGGGCAAGTGACAAAACCGCAGGCAGCCCGGCAGACGCAATAGACAAGCCTCACGCTCACCTTGCAGACACTGGCGGATTGAAGAAAAATGCACTGGGAGACCCGACCAGGTGGCCAAGTAGGCCATCGATGCGGGGCCATCCGCACAAAATCAAGAGGTTGGATGCTCCAGGGTTTCCCCAAATTACCCGCTCAGAGGAATCACCCGGGAACTTGTTAACAGTATCAAGCCCCTCTCCCAGAGACTGAGGTCACTGTGACTGAGCTGGCTCAGCCAGGTGTGAGAAATAATCAGACAAGTTTCCAAACCTCTGCGAATGTAGACGACCTCCAGGGTCCTTCCAGGAGTGCGCTCTTTATGAGAAAGGATTTCACGTCAAACTAGGTTTCTTTTAATTCAGTGAAACCGACATTGCACTTTCCTAGCCCATTCCCAACTGCACCGAAAACTTCAACAAAACTTAGCACACAAAAGATCACGTGAAGCGGGTCAGCCTACGTCCCACCACCAACCCCGCTGGGCTTCGGAAACCCGGTCCAGAACGCGTCGCCCCACCCCTCGCCGCCTCTCCGCCCCGCGACTACAAGTCCCACCCTGCCCCGCGCTCACGCGCACTACGACAGAGCAAGATGGCCGACACGACGGCTGGGGCCAGCGGCTCCGGAACGGTAAGGGCGTGAGGCGCGGGGCCAAAACCAAGTTTGGGCATTCTTTAACTTTCCTTTAGCCTGGGCAATGAGCTCATACCCAGAAATCTATACCCACCATAAGCTCCGAGTGGAAGAAGGTCCTTCAAACCATACGCTCCCCCCACCCCCCCCCAGGGACTTGGCGGCGGCCTCCTCTAAGTTGGTGGACCTGTGACCTGATTGGTTCGTTCCTTGTTGGGGTGGGAACCCGGAACACCTTCTCATTGGTCCGAATAGGCCTTTTTTACCCTCTTATTGGTCGTCCAAAGTTGGGAGGGATTCCCGTTTCAAAATATTTAGCTTCTCTATATTTCCGTGGTGTTTGTCTTTTGCTCTAGGCATCGTGTGTTGTTAGTTTTAATTTTCGTTATTAGTGAATGGTGTGGAGATGGGAGGAACGAGAGAGCCTTTTTTTTCCTGAAAAGTAAATGTATTAGTTCAATCCCATTATGCTTGTTTCTTCAGCTATGCATTCTGAGAATCTGCTAAAGTAGAAAGTGAGAAAACAGCCATTTATCCTGTTGGAGCGTTTTAGGTCTGCAGAAATGTCTATTTAGGCAATCCTGGGTGCTCAGTTATTTCCAGTTGGCTGATATCTGTAAGTCTAAACATTATGCAGTGATGAAAAACTTCCTTATGCAGTCTAGCAAAAGAAGTTTTGCTTGCCATTCGTGATGTGTTAGCTCTGTGATCTCCTCCTTGTCCTGTGGCTGAAAGTCTTTTTTCCTCTCCGGGCTTCTGGTTGACAGAGATCAGGAAGTAAACAGTCTACCAACCCTGCCGATAACTACCATCTAGCACGGAGGAGAACCCTGCAAGTGGTTGTGAGCTCCTTGTTGACGGAGGCGGGGTTTGAGAGCGCTGAGAAGGCATCCGTGGAAACGCTGACAGAGATGCTGCAGAGCTGTGAGTACAGGAAACACTTGGCCTTCCTAGAGTCAGCCCCGACATCCGTTACTGCTCTGTGTGTGATGTTAGAGAGAATTGACAACAACAACAAAAATGAGCATAGGAAAGTAATTTACAGCCTTTAGAATCAACAGCCCTGGGTTATGATAAATCATTGCTCTGACATTTAATGGCCTAGACCAGTCACTCAGTTGTGAAATAGAATAATAATTTGTTCCTGGTGGATGTGAGTAAGAGAAGTATATGTAAAAGTATATGCGGGGGAGGTTGTAAGCGCTTGACTTCATTGGTGCTCTTACCGCAGTTCTGCTTTTTTCTCAAAGGACTTATGCTTCTATAGAAGTTTCAAGACTAATTCTCATGAAATAGATGATATCCCATTGCGTAAGGAAATGCTATATCGTGTGATACAAAATATGAAGGTGACTAAGTTTTATAGAAGAGAAAAAAACACATTGAAAAGAAAATATTGGCGGGCTTAGGGTGTGTCTCAAGTGGTAGACTGCCTGCCTAGCAAGTACAAGGCCCTGAGTTCAAACCCCAATACTGCCAAAAATAATCTAAAATGTCTTCTGAGCATGGTGGTACATACCTGTAATTACAGCATTTGGGAGGCTAAGGCAGATTGATTGAGGCTAGCCTAGGTGAGACTGTCTCAGAAAGAAAGGAAGGAGAGAGGGAGGGAGAAAGAAAAACAAGCAAGACCTTTTCTTAGTTTCCTGCTTGCCATAATGTGAACTGCTCTTCTCTGCCATGCCCTCCCTGCTTTGATGAATGAAGCTTCTGAGAGTGTGAGCTAAGTAAATCATCTGTTCTCTGGATCAACACTTACAAAAGGAAGAAGCAGAAAGGCTTGGACAGAGGGAGATGTTGAACTGCAATGCACATCCACCAAAGAACTGGCCAAGTCACCCTGGACCAGTTATTGCCCATCAACCTGAAAGGGTCCTATCTTTATACTTAGGCCTTTTGTTGTGTTGGGCTGGAACTCTGGGCCTCATGCACACTTTATAAACTTCATCTTAAATACTGTCCTTTTTCCTGGAGGACTGAGTAGTAGAGGCTCAGCTGTAGGCAGAAGAATCAAAAATTGCCCACCACAGAATAAGACTTTTTGGTGTGTGTGTGTGTGTGTGTGTGTGCGCGCGCGCGTGGCGGGGGGAGGTACACATAACAACATTTTCACCTTAACCAATTTTAGTGCACAATTCAAAGTGCCTGTTAAGTACAGTCACAGTGTGTGCAAGCATTGCACACTACCCACACCCAGAACCTTTTCATAGTTCCAGGTAGAAACTTTGTACCCATAAACAGTAACTCCCCATTTTGTCTTCCCCAGTCCCTAGAAATTGCTAATCTACTTTCTGCCTCTATGAATTTGCTTTTTCTGGGTACCTCATATAAGTGGCATTTTAAAATATTTGTCTTTTTGTGTCTACTTTATTTCACTTAGCCTAATGTTTCAGAGTTCACTCATGTGGATTTCCTTTTGAAGAATTTCGTTTCTTTTGAAGGCCGAGTAATACTCCATTGTATATGTCTATGCCACAATTTGTTTACTCTTCTATCAGTGGATAGGGCTGGGGTGTGGCTTATGTGGTAGAACGCCTGTCTAGCAAGTTCGAGGCCCTGAGTTCAAACCCTAGTACTGCAAAAACAAACAAACATCTGTCAGTGGACAGTAGTTTGTTTCCACTTAATCAAAAACAAAATTGGAAGGGCTGCTGATTGAATCCAGGGCCTGGTGCATGCTCAACAAGCTTTCTGCCACTGAACCCTTGTTTCCACCTTTTGCAGATAATGCTGTGGCAAACATGAGTGTACAAGTATCTGTCTGAGTCTCTGCTTTCAATTCATATAGAATGGAATTGCTGGCTCCCATGGTTATTCTGTGTTTAACTCTTGAGGAACTGTGAGTAAGACCCTATGCCTTTGATCCCCTCGTAGACATTTCAGAAATTGGGAGAAGTGCCAAGTCTTACTGTGAGCACACAGCCAGGACCCAGCCCACACTGTCGGATATTGTGGTCACACTGGTTGAGATGGGTAAGTATACCTCTAATTTCTAGTTCTTCCATGCAGCCAAGATAGGGTCCTGAGGGACTAGCCATGTCTGCTGAGTGTTCCTGAACCCCTTTTGGGAGGGAGTTATCAGAACACGGTGACTCTGAGCCCATTTCAGAGACCTCCTAATTCCCTGTTGGGGGATTCTGGTGGGGCTTTTTTTGAGGGGCAGTGTGGTGGCTGAGTTGGGAGGTTAAGCTCTTTTTCCACACTATAACTCCCCTTTCCATGTTCAATGTCCAGTGTTCTGCTTTCTTGTTTCTTAGGTTTTAACGTGGACACTCTCCCTGCTTATGCAAAACGGTCTCAGAGGATGGTTATCACTGCCCGTAAGTGACATTGCACTGAGGCACTCAGAAAGTGCTCAGTTAATGCTGGTAGAGTGAATTAGTGGTTGAATTGGGCAAGGATCAGATTGGCAGCTATTTTCTTGTTGCAGGTTCCCTTCCAATCTTTGGGGCTTCCTATAGTCTAATCTTTATCTGGCTGAGAGAATTAGTATGAGCAGTGCAGTTACTAGGAAAGTAAACCAGCTCTGAGACACTGCTGTGGTTTTTGTGCTTAAGCCCTGAAGAACAAATGGCACTGCCTGAAGAACATGAAAGTTCTTGTTCTTCTTTAGATCAAGGGTTGCTAAACCCTATGAGCCAAATGCGGCCCACTGTAAATAAAGTTTTTTTATTTTGTAAATAAAGTTTTATTGGAACACAGCCATATTTACTTATTATCTATGATTGCTTTTCTGTTATGATGGCAGAATTTAGTTGTGGCAGATACTGTGTGGCTTGCAAAATCTGAAATATTTACTGTGTAGCCCTTCACCTGAAAACTTTGACTGCCTTAGATAAAACATCCTTAAGGTGAGCAAGGCTAACTAGTTTGGGTGTGTAGGACTTGAAAAGAATTCACTGGATATTTTTTTTAAAGTCATTTTTTCACATTGCCATCTCTTAAAGAACTCCCTTCTTAGAGTAGCAGTGAAAGGTGCCATTTTCAATCTCTTCTTGTAATTGGTAAGCCCTCACTTCCCCCTCAATCTTTTTATTATGTGGAGTCTCTGAACAATTTGTGTGTGTGTGTGTGTGTGTGTGTGTGTGTGTGTGTGTGTGTTGGGGATTGAACACAGGGCCTTCTGCATGCTGAGTATATGCTCTATGCAGGCCCTGGAGTCTCTAAAAAGAGATTTAGCAGCCCATCTGCCATCCTCAGTTCTTTAGTGTGCTCTTTTATGTAGTGACCTTGGTCACAGACACCCTCCTTGGAGGATTGTGGGTAGATTATTATAGATGGGAACATCAGTCAAGGTCATCCATCAGGGCTGGACATTGTGAGGATGACCTCTTTAGGCCCTTATGCCATCGAAGGCTTTTTATTGCCAGAAATACGAAGTGCCTGCCATTTATAAAATTGTGTTTCAGTGAGAAAAGGAGAATCTGTAGAAACCAGGGCCTTGGTGGACAAGTAACCAGTTGTGATTCTGTTGCAGCTCCAGTGACCAATCAACCAGTGACCCCCAAGGCCCTCACTGCAGGGCAGAACCGACCCCACCCACCACACATCCCCAGCCATTTTCCTGAGTTCCCGGATCCCCACACTTATATCAAAACTCCGGTGAGTGATGGGGCCACCCTAGGGACTGTGACTGCTGTAAAGCACAGCCTGTTGCTACTGACCATCAGACTGGAGTCCAGAAAGTTCTTAGTTAAAGGGTAGTTCAGAACTCACAAGTATCTTTCCCTGTTGAGAAGCAGTTTGACAAGTGAGAATTATGTTCTCAAGCTTGTCAACAAAAATATAGTTAACAAAGAAATTGAAGCCAGAAATTGCCTGTTCCACCAAGACACAAAAGTACTTAGCTACACAGAAATAAACCTGGAAAGATATTTTACAACATGTTCATAATAATTCTTTTTTTTTTCCCTCATGGTAATCCTTGGTGAGATGGTTGGTAGTCATAGCTACTTTGTGTGTGTTTTCTTGGTTTTTCCATAATAGAAAAAGTTTTGCATTTTTTTCCTGAGTGCTGGGGATTGAACCCAAGGCCTTGCATATGCTAGGCAAGCACTCTACCACTGAGCTATATCCCCAGCTCAAAGAGTTATTTTTGAAATTGGGGAGAAAATTTAAATATCTCCCCCAATTTTCTTAAAATATACTTAGGAAGGCCAGGCATGGCAGAGCATGCCTGTAATCCCAGCATTTGCTAGACTGAGGTAGTAGAATTACAAGTTTGAGATCAGCGGAGCTACATATCAAGACCTTGTCTCAAAAAAAAGGAACACATGACTGCCTGTCTAATAAACACAGCCCTCCATTGCCCTGGACTTACAGTCTCTCATACTGTCCTGGGAGTGCCACAGCAAAGTGCTACAAACTAGGTGACTTTAAACTACAGAAATGGGGTTGGGCATGGCCTAACTGGTAGAAGCCATGGGTTTAATCCCCAGCACTGCCTCCCCCTCCCCCCCAAAAAAGAGCAACAGAATGTATTGCCTCAGCTCTAGAAGCCAGAAGTCCAAATCAAGGTGCAGCAGGGTTGTGCTCCCCTGACACCTGTAGGGGATCCTTCCTTGCCTCTTTTAACATTTTATTAATTTTTTTTGTGGTGCTGGACTTTGAACTCAGGACCTCCTGCTTGTTAGGTAGGCGCTCTACCACTTGAGCCACTCTGCCAGCCCTTTTCCTTGCGTCTTCTGAGCTTCCTAGAGTTTGCCAGCATTCCTGAGCATCTCTTGGCTTGTAGATGCAATGCTAAAGTCTTGTGTCCTCACATAGTGTGCTCTCTGAAGCTCTTTTTCCCTATAAGGACACCAATCCTATTGGATTAGGAACCTACCTTAGGAACCTACCTTACTCCAGCATGACTTCATTATAACTCCTTACATCTGCAATGACCCTGTTTCCAAATATGGTCATACTGAGAGGTGCTAGGGGCTGAAACTTCACCATATCTAAAAGAGTTCTCATGGAGATACAGTTCAACCCAGAACATTTTCTCTTTGTAGTGTATCCTGGCAGTAAAAATAGCCTGTTTATGTTTGCTTGTTTATATGGATGTTACAATTTAACCTTGTGCAAAATAATGTACATTAAAAGATAGTTTCACCCTTATTAAAAGCTCAGGAAACCTGTAACCTTTTTAGTGGGAGCCTTGTTATTGCCTCTCCTTTTCCTTTTGAAATCTTGGTTTAATACTTAGTGAAATAGTGAGTTGGAGGTTTGATTCTGAGATGGTTTATTTTGATTCTTTAATGGCTCTCATAGTTGAAAAAGGTACATTACAAAGACTTGTAACATCATTGACTGCCCTTAATAAATGAAAAATCTGGGGTTTGGGAATATAACTCAGAGCATTTGCCAGGCATGTGTGAGACCCTGGGTTTGATCCCCAGTACTGCAAAAAAAGAGCAAATTTAAAAAAACTAAGATTTTCAAATTCTTTTTTACCAGTTATTCAAGTTATTTCATTGAGAATTTCTATTAAATTTCCAAGTTACTGAATGTCACATGTCATAGAAATAATTACAGAACCTTGCCTTTTAATGTTTTTAACAAGTATGTTCAAAATCCAATTTTCATTTTGAGAAGATTTTAGACATTTCAGAACATTCTGTTTCTATGTGTAAGTGTAGATATAGGGACTGTATAGGTGACACAATTCAGTTGACAGTGACAACAGTGGGCATGTTTCCGAGTGCCTCCTTTAAAAACTCTGTCTCTTTATCATGAGAATTGTTACTTTTTTGTTCATTATTAAAATGTCATCTTTGCTATTTCAGTTTAAAATGTTTTGACTAGGACTGGGGATGTAGAGCTGTTGCCTAGCACATGCAAAACCCTGGGTTCAATTCCTGGTATTGCAAAAAAAGTTGACTTAACTTCTCATTCTGATTAAATCTCAGTTGTTTTTCACTCGATAACATGATTGTCACCAAGCTCATAATTAGAAGGAGGGGTGACATCCTGTCATTTTTGGTTTGCTTACACTTACAATATTATCTTTAGTTTATATTTGTGTTTTGGAACAGTGTGTCCATTTGGAGAGGTTTAATTTAGGAAAACCAGATGGTATATTCTGCAATATCACACTATACAGATGGAACCAGAGGTCCCTGTCATGGTTCCCTGGGGGACTCCCATCTTCCTTGAGGGTGTATCTCACACCTGAGATCAACCGTTATGGGAGTGGAACAAAGGCCAGGGTCAATTTTAGAAATCTTCGCACATTTAAAAATTTTTTTCTTTCTGACTGTACTGGGGTTTGAACTCAGGGCCTCTCGATTGCTAGGCAGGCACTCTTACCACTTGAGCCACTCTTCCAGCCCTTTTTTTGTGGTGGGTTTTTTTGAGATAGGGTCTTGTGAACTATTTGCCTGGGGCTGGCTTTGAACCATGATCCTCCTGATCTCTGCTAGGAGTAGCTAGGATTGCAGGTGTGATGCTATGAGCCACCAGCACTTGGCTCATTTCTTAATTTTTATGATTAAAAATAAATATTTTTGTACTTACGTCATTTTTTTGGGGTGGTACTAGGAATTGAATTCAGGGCCTGGAACTTCTGGGCAGAATCTCTACCACTTGAGAGCCATGCCCCCCAACCCTTTTCGCTTTAGTTTTTTCAGGTATGGTCTCAAGTTTTTGCTGAGGGTCATCCTCACATTGAAATCCTCCTATCCACAGCCTCCTTCATAACTGGGACAGGCACACTGACCGCCATACCTTGCTTATTAATTGAGACAGGGTCTTGATAAACTTTTTGCCTGGGCTGGCATCCAATTATGATTTCCTGGTCTCCGCCTCCCAAGTAGCTAGGATTACAGGTATGAGCCTCCACGCCTGGCCCTTCTTTCTGCCCTTCTGCTGCTCTTTGGAGATCTCAAAGCTACATAATGGTAGTAAGTCATGTTAGTGGGTGGGAGGACCCAGCTACAGCAAAGCAGGGACCTGAGGAAAGCAGAAGGGTGCCTCTGCTCACCCAAGTGTCTTCACTGTTTCCTTCCTAGACATACCGAGAGCCTGTGTCCAACTACCAGGTCCTGCGGGAGAAGGCTGCATCCCAGAGGCGTGACGTGGAGCGGGCACTCACTAGATTCATGGCCAAAACAGGGGAGACCCAAAGTCTCTTTAAGGATGACGTCAGCACATTCCCACGTGAGTTGTCTGCCTCTGGGGACTCTGTCTTGCACTTGTGATAATCACACAATCTTCCCTTTCTCTCAGCCTGGAGGGAGAGGTGAATAAGCCTTTGTTTTTCCTCTTATTTTCACTTATTCTTTGGATTCCTGGCTCTTTTTTCCAAATCCAAATTACTTAGGGAGCCAGTCCCTAAGTAATGATATTAAAGCACAAATGACCTTTGTGGGATCGGCTGCTCTAGCCACACGGAATTTAGGTTACCTCAAAGGTGACCGAACCCTCAGCATCAGAGAATATCCTACAAAAGTGGCAGCTCAGGTCAGAAGGGACATTGACATGGGCATCTAGGGCCAGTTGCTAATCACCAAGTCCTTTCACAGGTCATGTCTTATTTAACTTTGCATCTCAACAGTGTTGCACAGTGCTGACCAAGTTACTCATCTCCCCATCTCAGGTCATGCAGAGGCGAACAGGGAGGTTGGTTTGGGTAGTGAGTCTGTTCAGCAAGCCCCTACCCGATGCCCGTCTGTGTGCCTAGCCCTTGAATGATAGCAGCCTTTAGTCACCAAGTGCCAGGCCCCATGCTAATCACTTCCCATATATCAATTCATTCAGTCTTTTCAGGAGCCTGTGAGGTAGGACCTGTCATCATCACCACCTTTGCAGGAAGCTGAGGCTCATAAGAGAAATGAAGCAGCTAGCTTGAGGTCATGCGCAGAATTCAAATCTAGCTCCTTCTGGCTGCCTGACTATACTGAAAATAATTTTAGGTCAAGAATGGTGGCTCAGCTTATAATTGTAGCTACTTGAGAGGTAGAGATCAGGAGGATCACAGTTTGAGGCTAGACTAGGCAAAAAGTTGGTGAGACCCCTTGTCAGTGTCTGGATACAGTGGTATGTGCCTGTCATCTCAGCAACATGGGAAGCATAGATAGGAGGACTGTGGTCTAGGCTGGCCCAGGCATACAGCAAGACCCTATCTCAGAAAGGGGCTGGCAGAGTGGCTCAAGTAGCACAGCATTAAGCTTAAGGCCCTGAGTTCAACCCCGAGTACTGCAAAAAAAAAAAAAAAGTATCTTCCAACAATTCCATTTGGCCATAGAAGTACCATTGAGACTGTCATTTGATTGCTATTATTTTTTAAGTATTTATTTAGAGATGGGGCCTCTCTGTGTTCCTCAGGCTGGCTTCAAACTCCTGGACTCTAGCTGGCTCTGTGGATGCCCACCGAGCCTAGCATACTAATTATTATTGTTTTTAAATGATTTCTTCTTATCCTCATCATTCTTTGGAAGAGCTGAAACTCTCATTTACTAGAACTGTTCAGCCTTTTGGCTTTTTTTTCTTTTTGGTGGTACTGGAGTTTGAACTCAGGGCCTCATCCTTGCTAGGCAGGACCTCATCCTTGCTTGACTCACTCCACCAGCCATTTTTTGTGTTGGGTCTTATGAACCACTTGCCCAGGGCTGACTTTGAACTGCAATCCTCTTGATCTCGGCCTTCTGAGAAGTTAGCATTACAAGTGTGAGCCACTGGTGCCCTTCTGGGCTTAAGTTCTTCAAGCTGAGAAGATCAGTATCCCTACTGTAGAAATGAGGCTTGAGGTATTAATAGACCTTAACAAAGCCAATGCATTGCTGGGATTCTGTATAGCCCCAGTTCCATCTGATTTCAGTCTTACTTACTAAAGGGGTCTCTGAAGTCTAATTGCCTGAGTTCAAATCCCACTGTGCTTGAGAAATCCCTATGTGCTTGAGAAAGCCAGCCCTCTGTGCCTCAGTTTCCTCCTGTGTCACATGGGGGAGATACTTGTGCATACTTAGCAGGGTGGAGTGAGGATTGAGGAGAGCACAGGTAAGCCTGTGCTTTAGATCACTTAGACCTCGCCAGGCCCGTGGTGTAAGTACTTGAAGCACATGGGCCACTGTCGTCTTTGGGAACTGCTTTCTGATTGCCATAAGGTTCTAGGGCAGCTTCGAGGACTCCGTGACAGTGGAATCACACCTCTCTTCCAACTCCCCAGTGATCGCTGCTAGACCCTTCACCATCCCCTACCTCACAGCCCTTCTTCCCTCTGAGCTGGAGATGCAACAAATGGAAGAGACGGATTCCTCAGAGCAGGATGAGCAGACGGACACGGAGAACCTTGCTCTTCATATCAGCACGGTGGGTGCCCCTTCTGCCTATCCCAGCACCCCAGTGCTAGCCCACCCTGCCCTCTGCTCCTCCTCCTGGAAATTGGAATGACCTACACCAGGTCTCTGGCTGTATGTTAGGTACTTGCATGATGGGCCCATGAAGACCCAGGTATTATCTCCAGCTTGAAAGACACATTTGTGATCTAGGGATTCACTCATTCATTCAACAGATGTTGAATTGTCACCTTCCAGTGCCAGGCATAGTTCCAGGTGCTAGGGAGCTAGTAATAGATAAAATTCCCTAGAATTCTCCTAGATAGGAGTCGGATGGGGCTAAAGAGAAGCAAGATTAGAAGGTGACATTTGAGTAAAGACCTGAACGGACCAAGGCCTGCACATACCTGGGAGTAGTGCTTTCCAGGGAGTGGAAACAGGAGGTGCAAAGACCCAAGGTGGGAGCTCGTCTATTGTGTTGAAGAACATCCAGGACACCAGCATGGCCAGAGTAGCATGCACAATGGAGAGAGTAACAGAGTCAGAGAGCTCATAGGAAGCCAGACCTTACAGGTCCCATGACTTACGTAAAACACCTTGGCTTCTGCGTGGGAAGGTGGAAGCCAGGGAGATGTTGAGCAGTGAAGAGTCAGGCCCTGATGTAGCCTTCATAGGATCAGTGAGGCTGGCATGTTGAGGATAGATCACGGAGGGCAGGGCAGAAGCAGAAGCAGACACCAACTAGGAGACTGTAGCTAAGCTGAGAGATGGAGTAGGAGCAAAGATTATTTGGTCAGATTCTAGGTTCTCTCAGAGCAGAACCAACTGATGGAGCAGGCATGAGATGTGTGGGAGACTGAATGAGGTAACTGCAAGGTTCTTCGCCTGAACAGCAGGGAAGATGAAGTTGCCTTCACCACATAGGGAATACTGGGTCCACTAGTTGGTCTTTGAGGATCAGTTAGGGCTAGAGGGAATCCTCAGCATGCAGATAGTACTTGAGACCCTGAGAGGATGAACCCTCCCAAGAGGGAGTGAGGATTAAAGAAAAGAGGTGCACTGTGTGGACGTGGAAGAGACAAGAAGGCTCAGCCAGAGAGGGAGAAGTGGGAGAGGCGTGTTCCGGGGTCGAAGAAAGGGAGGACTTCAAGAGAGCCCTCGATAGTGTCCTAAGCCGCAGTTAGTTCCAGTAATAGGAAGACTGAGAAATGGACTTTATATTTGGTAGCATAAATGTAACTTGTGACCTTGATGAGAGAAGTTCCAATAGGAACGAGGGCCAGGGCCAGGAGTGAAATCTCAGAATGGCAGTAGAGAGCTCGTGAGTATGGACTTGTGCTGGCCATTACAGTAGCCCCTAGCCATGAGTGACTCTTTAAATTTACGTTAACTGAAGTAAAACTAAAAGCCAGTTCCTGAGTCTCCTTAGCCACCTAGGGCTGGTGGCCACTCTACTGGGCCACGCAGACACAGAACATTTCCACCATGAAGAATGTTCTGTTGAACAGCACTTGTATGGACAATTATTTCAAGGAGCTTTTCTGTAAAAAGAGGAGAGAGATGGAGCAGTGACCAAAGCAGGGGGGCACTGAGGAATTTGGAGAGGTATTTTAATGGGTTTTGTTTTTTAACTTTTTAAGATGAAAGAAATAATGTGTCTGTGTTGATGGGAGTGATCTGGTACTCAGGGAAACTAATGCGGGAGAGACGAAATATTTTGGAATTATGTCCTTTGGTAGGTGAGAAGGAATGAGATCCAGTGCCTGAATTGGGGGACTGCTGTATTGTGAGCTTTTCCATACCCTGTGTATGGTGTACTCAGAGACAGAGGTGGGTGTGTGATATGTAGGTTGGAGCTAGTTTTAGGCTCAACGTTCTTTTCTGGTTATGGCAGTGTCATGCTCAGCAAGTGAAAGGATAAAACCCCACCCTGTTCCTGTGTCTTGAGAGAAAGAATCCTGAGCTGCTGGAAGCTGTACTGCCTTAAGGCTCCCAGGGTCCTTAGAGTCAGGCTCTTATATTCAGCCTCCTTTAAAATCAGCCCTGGCTGGACAGTGCTTTAGTGGCTGAAGTTGAACTGAGTGTCCTCTTGTCATCCTGTGATGACAAGATAGCATTTTAGTTTGCAGGTGGAGCATGCCCACACCGTGTGTCTCCAGCATTTGCTAAAGGCCTTCCTTGCTTGAACACACATGTTTCTTTGAGATAGGGTCTCACTATGTAGCTCAGGCTGGCCTGGAACTCCCAGACTGGTTTCCAACTCATGATCCTCCTGTCTCAGCCTCCTAATGGCTGGGATTATAGGCCTGTACCCCCATGCCTGACTATTGAATTAGTCCTTCCAGAATTAGTCTGGGAGCACATGGCCTTAATGCAGAGGAGGTTGTCATTCTACACTTCTGTTTTGGACTCAGATGTGATGATTGGGTTATGGATGAAGTTGATGTACACCTGTGAGAAAGATGAATTAGGGCTGGGGGCATAGCTCAAGTGATAGAATGCCTACCTAGCAAGTATGAGGCCCTGAGTTCAAACCCAGCACCACCACAAAAAAAAAAAAAAAGCATGAAAAGAGAAGGATGAATCTTCTACGCTAAGCAAACATCACCAGACCTTTGTAAGGACAGAATAGTCAGAGAACTCAATCATGGATGTGTCACCTAATGATCCAGGTAATGGTGTGAGGCGAGGTCATGTTGGTAAGTACATCAAGGCTCCTTAAGGACCCCTGGATATAAGAAGTTGTCCCAGGTTTATAGACAGCAAAAGTGAGAAGACCTGACCCTTGGAGTCAAACTGGCCTGGCTTCAAATGCGGGCTGTGCTTCTTGCCAGCTGTTTTATATGACTGAATCACCTACCATCTGAGCCTGGGTCTGCACAAGCACAGATCAGGTAGGAACACTGGGCATGGGAATAGGAGAGCCTGAGATAAAATGAGCCTATGTACATCAGGTGCCTGGAAGCAGGCAGCTGACAGCACTCATTTTTCCCTCCCTTGCTGTTGCAGGCTGTGTGACCACATGCTCTTCTGTACAAAGTGAAATAAAAACACTCCAAGACAAAGACTCTAACAATAGTTTATATCCAGCCTTTCGATCTTGTTAATGTTATTTTGTTGGCCTGGGAAATATAATTGTATGTTTTAAAATTCAGATTATGCAAAAAGATGTGTGATGACAGTTCTGTCTCCCGTCTTGCTCCCTGTCATCCACTTTCCCTCCCACAGAGCAACTGTCTCAGCAGTCTTTTGTGTATCCTTCTAGAGACATAGGAGGTTTTATTGTTCTAAACATAGAAAGTCACAAAGGTCCTCTCCTTGTTCTTTCTCCTTACGGCTGTCCATATCCTGGCGATCACTCTACATCTGTATATAACGAACTTCTGCACTCCTCACAGCCTCGTAGTACTCCCTGTGTGAATGGAGTGATTTAACTAGTCCCCTGGGGACACTTGGGTTGTTTTCTGTCTTTGGCATTTACAGATATTGTTACAGTAAATTAAATGATCTATATTTTAAATTATTCTTTTATCTATTGATGACAATGCATCTCTCAGAAACTGTTGCTAGGAGTACTTCATTTAACTTAGTTCTAGTTTCTCCTTGTACTTGAACATAAAGGAGCTCATTTTGAATTAGTGTATAATAGAAGTTTCCTCGTTGATTTGAACTATCTGCCTTGTGCGACAATCTAAGTGTCTAAACTTTGATTCTTTTATGAAAAATACATAAATCCTTCACTCAACAGATGCTTATTTAGCACCTGGTATATTCCAGATACTGATCTGGATGTGTGGGATAAAACAGAGAACAAAACAAAACCTTTGTCTTTCAGGAGCTTCTACCTGGCAGTGAAGAAAGGAAACAGACATAATATATAAATGAGTCATTACTGCTAGGGGCAGAAACAGAAGGTTTCAGGACTGGAGGTGTGGCTCAAGGGGTAGAGCACCTGCTTTATAAGTGCGAAAGCCTTCAGTTCAAACCCCAGTCTCACCAAAAAAGAAAAAGAACAAAAAACAAAAACCAGAAAAACCCAGTAGGTTTTGGTTTTGAATAGAACGCTGAGGGTAGGTCACACTGAGGTCATACCAGAGCACGACTTGAAGGAGATGGGGTGAGCTGTGTGGATATCTGGGGAAGAGTGTTCAGACAGAGGGAGTGGCCAGTACATAGGGCCTGAGGAACAGCAAGTGGCTGGGATGGAGGGAGGGAGGAGAGGAGGGAAGAAGGGCCAATCCACATAGGGTCTTGTCTGCTAGGTGAGGTGGGAGTCATAGGAGGTGTGGAGCCAAGGAGAGAAATTTCTGAACTAGGAGAGACATTTCTGAACTTCTGAAAGCTTCATTTTGATTGCTGTGATGGGAATGGACCAGAGAGGGAAATCCACTAAGAAGCTGTAGTCCAGGCAAGAGATGGCAGTGGGTCCCATTGGAATGGTCACAGTTGGGTGGTGGAAGTGATCAGATTCTGCTGATTTTGAAGGTAAGGACAAGAAGATGTCCTAACAGAATGGAGTGGGTGTCAGAAAGAAAAGAAGCAAGCAGGGCTGCTGAGTTCGAAGGCTCAGTCCACTGGCGGGATGGCATTGTGTCACCTGAGATGCAGTGGGCTTGGGGAAAAGCTGGCAGGCCTGTGTTCAGCTGAGGTACATACATTAAGTGTGAGCTGCCTGTATGGAGATGTCAAGGTGTCAAGTTAGCTGCATGAGCTAGAGGTCAGGAAAGGTGAGGGCTGGAAATGGACTCAGGGTTACTGGTATTGACAGCCATGAGGCTGGAGGGGTTGGTAGCACTCATGGGCTTTGCCTGGGTCCGGCCTTTGCAGGCCCAAGTAACTGCTGCAGACTCTGCTGCTCCCTTTCTGTAAATCTCTGGGTCAGCTAGATGTTTTGCTTCCATCTGCTCCCCGCTGCTATTCCCCATCTCAAGGCTGCCTGTTGCTGAGAGGACAAGAAAATGGCATTTCCACAAGCACTTTTTGTAAGAGAAACCTGTCATCCTACTTTGTGGGACTTAAGTTGTTGAATGGAGGGACCCTTGGTACCTTTCTGGATGATCCCAGGGCAGGCAAACAATGGATCCAGTCAGTGGGAGACTACTGCACACCCTAGGCCAGCTGTCCCTTGGGGGGAATCTGCCATTCATTTTGTGCCAGCTGTTCCCCTCATCCTGCCTGTGGTAACAGCAGCAGCTCCTGGTTGGGGACAGTGCATCCTCCTTTGCCACCAGTCGCAGAAGGGGAATCTCAATGTCTTCGTCCCCTGATGGAACCGCTGGTACGTCACAAGTGGTCACAAGGGGCACCACCCATGACCACTGAGCCTGAGCTTCTGTGTTGTTTTTGGTGTGATAGCCCTGGCCCCTGTGGCCACTGCTCGCTATTTGCTTTAAGGAACTTGGAAAATAGAGAAGCATATCAATGAGAAAAGGAAAGCCAGTTGCTCACACTCCCAGGACAGTTTTAAATTTTTTGACATACTGCTTTTTTTTTATGCACACAGTTATGATTTTAAGAAAATTAGGATCATACTGAATATATGTGAACTGAGCATTTCTTCAAAATTACATTTTCCTCAAAAATAAAGAAGAAAGACTCTTATTTCGGGTTTGACGATAGGCAGTAGAGGTGACGTGCACAGTTTGGTACCTGCAGACTCTGCTTTGCCCTACTGGAACCTCAGGATGCAGGAAGTTTCTGATCTAGGCTAGAATTTGGTTGCTGGTACTTTTATTGCAGGTACCAGAAATGAGAGACTTTGGGAAGAATATGTTAGGATTTATGTTAGTTTAGGTCTGTGAACTGTGCCAGTGATTTGTTTTGGCCCTGTGTCTCTCTGTCCTGCAAGGCATCCAGGGTTACCTCCCTTCTTTCTCTCCCATTGGACAAGGTTTCCTCCCTGCCATTCCCAGGTCTCCATTATTTTTAACTCTGCATGTCCCGCTATCAAAAGCCTAAGAACTCTGTTCTGTCCTCCATTTATCAAAGCTGACACTCTCATCTTCCAGCCATGGCCAGCCACTGCCTGGGCCTCATTGCATCTGGGGCAAAGATAGGAACACTGGGAAGAAGGTGGCTCCCACCTTCCAATTTCTCAGTGAAAGAGATGCTAATGGTACTTCTTATTAAGGGCACCATCTCTTGCCTCATGCTGTTGGTATTTTGCTTTATTTCGGCTTTTGCTCAAAGGATGATTCTGGAGCTGAGAAGGAGAATACTTCTGTCCTGCAGCAGAACCCCTCCTTGTCAGGAAGCCGGAACGGGGAGGAGAGCATCATCGATAACCCCTACCTGCGACCAGTGAAAAAGCCCAAGATCCGCAGGAAGAAGTGAGTGGAGCCTAGGGTCCAGAGCCTGCTCCAGCCAACTCGTCTGCTGCTTGGCAGGAGAGGCTCACCCATGGGGGTGAACCCGGGGGACCACTGCTCTGGTGAGAGGAAGCATTTTCCTTTTGCCTCTCCTTACTTGGCTCTCACACACACCTCAAGTTTCTTGGTGCATGAGTATCCTGCAGCCCAGGGGCAACCTTCCCAGCCCTGGAGCTGGCCTCTCCTAGGAGGAGAGCAGGCGGGGACCCATAGGCAGCCTCCGTGGTTCTTCTTTCTAGGTCCCTCTCGTGAGCTGAGAAAGCAGCTTGGCCCATAAGGGACGTGGGCACAACCCTCCTGGGAGAGTTAAAGCCACTGGAGGGAAGAGGAAAGCGTGATCTCCTGTGGCCAAGCCCGGGCTGCAGTGTGTGATCCAGCATGATTTTATAGCAAACCTTCTATTAAGATTACTTATTTTGCCTGGATGTGTGGGCTGAGGAAGATATGATGCTAATGATGAGACTTTCTTAATCAACCAGGCTACATTGCTGTAGACTAGGGTGTGGGTCACTGGTGACTTTTTTTTTTTTAATCACAAAATGGATTCCTTTGAAATCTGGAAGACTAGGGAAGGTGGCAGGAAAAAGCGTTCTTTTCTGCTTTGCTCAGTGAAATACCTTTCAAGCTGTCGGATCCCTTTTATTGACTCTCAAACAATTGTGGCACTGATTTATCAACCCAGAACCTCCTTATTTTTCTCCTTCCGGATTCCAGGCTCTGTTGAACTGATGGAAAGTTACTTTGTACTCCCTAATCATGTAGGAAACAGGAGGCCCACACCAAGCAGCTTTGATCTGGACTGGCAGGAACAGCTTGTTCATGTGTAGGACAGTGTCATGTCAGGTAGTGCTGATTCTCTTGACAAGCATTTGATAAAAGCTTCCCAAAGCAGGGACTGATATTTATTATTTATCATCCCTCTGTGAAATGTGTTTCGATCTACCAAGACTTGCCTCCATCTGGGGAAACAGGTTTTCCCTGACAAGAACCTGGAATGTTGGATTCATTGAGCCGTGACTTGATAGAGTATGAAAAGGACGTGGTGGGTTATGGGTGGGACCTTCAGGGCTGAGCATCCTGGTTGGTGTGCTGGAAGACTTGGATGGGTACAAGCCATGTTCCCACCTGCTGGCAGAAGTGGGCTGAGAGGAGCCGGCAGGCTGAGCTGAGTATCCTCGAAGCAGCAGGTCTCAATCTGTCCCACCTCTTCACCTCTTGATAGAGAAGACTTTGTTCTTGATGTGTCCAGCAAACCAGGAAGTGAGTTTTTAAAGGAAGATGTCAGGCAAGCTGTTACCCTTTGGCTGGTCTTGGAAGGAAGAGATTTTAAAACCAAATCCAAGGAAGAAAAGAACAGCAACACCTGGAAGTTGACACAGGATGAGCAAAGTTGCTCCCTGAGCTGGAATTCTGAGATCCATATTTAACTTTTTTTTGGCAGCACTGGAGGTTGAACCCAGCCTCTTGCTTGCTTGCTAGGCAGGCGCTTTACCACTTGAGTCACTCCACCAGCCCTTAACTGTTCTTCACCCACATTGGGCTACCATGGTCACCTCATACTCTTCTGTTCCCTTGGTAAACTTGGAAACTGGAAAAAGTAGGTGACTTGGCAGGAGGCTCTGTGTTCCTCTGGCTTCTCTATTCTCTAGGACACTAAGTGCCATTGCCTGAAAGAAAAAAGCTGCATGTTGGGAGCTGCAGAGCAGGTGTTCATAAGAAAATTGGATTCCCCAACTCTGGACCAAATGGGAGTTTCTTGGGTTTATAGTAACATTAAACTTCCAGTTAAAAGCAGGAAGACTGACTTGTGTGGACCCCCAGAGTTGTGATTGCTCTTGGAGATTTTGTGGCCTGTTCAGTTGAAATACAGTCCCAGGGTCCTGTATGACAGATAGCTCTCACTGCCACTGGAGCAGTCATCACTCCTCAGTCACCATCACTATCCAAAGCAAACGCCATCAACTGCCTTGTACCCAGGGACAAGTGCCCTTGATTCTCGGAGGCTGCATGGCTGTGGCTCTGTTCTGCATGGAGGCGCTGGGAAATGGACAACTTGGAACAGTGACCTGACTGCTGTCATTGTATAGAAACTGCATAACTCTCAGTGTGTATTTATAAATTTCTATTTTTTATAATTTTGGGGGACTTCTTGGAGGGAAAAAGTAGCAAACAGACTTAGTTAAAAGTGTGATTTATGAAAGGCCCATAATAAAAATTCATAATAAAAACTTTGTAAGCTTTGAACTTAATTTGTGTTAAAAAAAATTACAGCAATACATAAGACCACCTGCAGATAAACAGATTTAGTCTTTCTGTTGAACTAAGTTCCTAGGAACTTTTATATTAGAAATTATTAAACACAAAATTAGGACGTATGTGAACCCTCTACATCCCTCACTCAGCTTCAACACATACCATTTTGTTAGTTCTATTTCAGCTTCTCCCCCTTTATTTCTTCTTCCTTGGAGTAGTTTTCTTCTCCCTTTTTTTTTTTTCTTTATATTTTTCTTTTTCTCTCTTTTCTGGTGCTAGGGATCAAACCCAGGGCTTTGTGCTTCGTGCATACTGACCATATGAGCAGGCAGAAGCAGTACTTTACAACTTAGCTACGTCTTAGACCCTTGGAGTATTTTTCAAAGCAAATCCCAGTCTTGCGTCATTTAATCTATAAGTATATCAGTATACAGCTCTGATAGAGCTTTAAATTTTAATTTTGAAATAATTACAGATTCACAGAATAATGTATGGAGAGGTCCTTTGTACCTGTCACCCAGCTTCCCCCAGTGATGGTGTCCTACATAACGAGTACAATAATCAAAGCCAGGATAATGGCATTGGTACAATCCACAGAACTCATTCAGATTTCACTCCTTGAGGCACGCGTGTGTGTACAGTTTTGTCACACATTCCTGTAGCCACCATCACAAGGCAGAACAATTACATCACCATAGTTCTCCCTCACACTTTCTCTTTATAACCACATCTGCCCCCTCTTCCTAACTCCTAGTAACTTCTTGGCTCTCCTACTTAAAGAATGTCTTACAAGTGGAATCATAAAGTATGTGACCTTTTGAGCTTGACTTTTTTCACTCCATATAACTCACTTGAAATCCATCTAGGTCGTTCTATCAATTGTTCGGTTCTTTATATTGCAGCAGCATCCCATGGTGTGGGCGCACCACAGTTTGACACAATTTGTGTCATCACTCACATGTTTCCAGCTTGGGGCTTTTATGAATAAAACTGCTGTGGACACTTGTGTGCAGGTGCTACGTGAACATAAGTTTTCTTTTCTCTGTACAATTACCCAAGAATGCACTTGCATCCTATGGTGGCTGCATGTTTAGTTTTATAAGAAATTGATGAACTATTTTTCTGGAGCATCTGCCCACCAGCAGTGTCTGAGTGACCCAGTTTTTCCACATCCTCACCAAGATCTGGAGTTGACTTTTTTATTTTAGTCATTCTGATAGGTATGTAGCAATATCTTATGATCTTAGTTTGCTTTTTGCTAATGGCTAATGATATTGGGCATCTTTCTGGGTGCTTATTTGCTATCTGTATATCCTCCGGGTGACATCTGTTTGTGGGTTTTTGTTGTTTTACCCATTTTTTCCTTTTATTTTCCCCTCTCCTCTTCCCCCCCCTTCCCCTCTTCCTCTCCCCTCTAGGGTCCCAGCCTATCCTCAGACTCCTGGGCTCACGCATCCTCTTGCCTCAGCCTCCCAATGGATTGTTTTGAGATTTTTCATTCCATATTCAAGAACCCTGTTGGATATATATATATATATATATTTTTTTTTTTTTTTTTGCAATTACTTTCTCACAACCCATAGCTTGTCTTATTCTTCCTCACAAGGTCTTTTGCAGAGCAAAACCTTTTAAATTTGATGAGTCTGATGGATTGTGTTTTTGGTATTATCTAAAATTTCTTCACCAAGCCCTAGGTCTTAGAGATTTTCTTCTGTATTCTTTTCTAAAGTTTTTATTGATCTGTGTTTTGCTTTTATTTCTGATCCATTTGAGTTAGTTTTTTTCCCTGTGGATGTCAATTGATCCAGCCCTAGTTGTTGACAAGCTACACTTCCTTCACTGAATTACATTTGTACGGGTTGACGGGTGTGTGTGTGTGTGTGTGTGTGTGTGTGTGTGTGTGTATTTAGCTAGGGATGGAACTCAGGGTCTGTGTATTTAGCTAGGGATGGAACTCAGGGTCTCATGCATGCTAGGTAAGGACCCTAACACTGAACCACACAACCAGCCTCATAAAGGCTGATACTGGTTCCAGCCACTGTTCTGTTTTATACATACCAACTCCGGGAACCCTCACAGATACCCTAAAAGTCAGGGTTCTCATTGAACCCAGTTATAGGTGAGGACCCAGAAGTCCAGGGCAGTCAGTAACTTGGCTCTTACTCATTCTTTCATGGAGGATTTAGACCCATTTATGACAGATAATTAAGGAAACTAACATTGCCTGGTACATGAAGAGTGAGAACCATGTCAAGGGAAAAGCCAGGGGCCTCCCTGGCAGGGAGTGCTGAGCCACTGTTGAGCTGATGTAAGGTGGCCTCTCTACTGGCTTAAACAACATGCTCACATAAGAGACTGCATACCCCAGTGTAGGGTGGCTTAAGTCAGAAATGTGTGCCTCTTTGAACGGTGCAGGCTGGCATGGTGACTTTTACCTCTATCACTGCGGTGCTGCTTGAATTCACAGGGTAGAAGGTGGAAGTTACCATCTGCTGGGTACACATTTCAGCCATGGGGAAGAGGGAGACCAGAGCTGTGTGTAAAGGAGAACTTCGACCTTCCTCCTGAGAGCAAGACCTAGAAACTATCACCCTGGTCATGGGGCGCTGCCTAGGGAAGCAAAGAAACGTGGCCTTCAGCTGAGTGGCTCTGGGTCTAGGTAAAATTTGGGAGCTTTTTCACCATGGAAAGAAGGAAATGGGGGAGGACGGGAGGTTGGCACAAACAAGGTATACACATATAAGTAAATGTAAAAATGATAAAGGAGAGAAAAAAGAAGGAAAGAATGGATTTGTGAGACAGTTGGCAATCTGTCATAAATGAGTTTGAGGGCATGTGCCCAGGAATGCCTCGTTAGGACAGGCAGCCAGGCCCTGCACCCACACTGAACCGCCCGACTTCGGCATCATTGGCTCTGAAGTCAGTCCCGGAGACCCACAGTCAGGGATCTGGTCCCCTCAGTGGGGTCCAACCCAGCTTATGCCTCTGCCATATGAATGTGTTGGCTGCCCTTTCCTTCTTCAAGGTTTTTCCTGGCTTCCATGGCACTGCCCACCTTTTCTTATTGTTGTACTCCTTCCTTTTGTTCCTTTTCCTTGCTGGCTCTTGCCTCTAGTCGTTCAGCTGTGGAGGGTCCCAACCACTCCCATCTCTGCCCAGAAGATGGTTCCTCTGCTCCTCTGCCTCTAGCCATCACATCCCAGGAGGCCTTGGCATGCAGCTGTCTGTAGTTCGCTCTGCACCAAGCTCTCTGGTTATACTCTCAAAACAACATGGCCGGACTTAATTTGCTTAACCTTTCCTGTCAACCACTTCCACTCCATAACTTTCCCACTTCAAACAGAGGTTAGAAACAGGATGACAGCAGCCACTCCTCAAGTTCTTTCCTTGGGCCAGGACAGGCTTGACAGCATCCTCTCCCCCTCCCATCCCCTGGACAAAACACTCAGGGTGGTCTTATTCATCTGTATGTAGACAGCTGCCAAATTCTGTCCCCTCCCTCTTCTTCCTCCCTGGTCTGATGCTGCCTCGCCTAAATGGCTACATGGCCTCACTGCTCTGCCCTAGTCTGTATTTGTTGCCAGCTTTGTCCTCTTGTGAGCTCTCATTTTTCCATTCTCTTCCCTGCTGTAGGACCCACAGGTCCTTCCCACTGCTTTCCACTCCACATTCAGACTGCCCAACCTGGCTGTCGAGGTCCTCTGCCAAATCACTGTTGCTTTTGGATAACTCATTTTCCTTTCATTACTTCAACAAATACGGATTTTGTGCCTTCTGTGTATGCCAGGCACTGTGCCAACTCAAAGGATACCATAGAGAACAAGACAAACACGGTCCAGGCCTCCAGAGAATCCATTCCACTGGGAAGCCATACAAAGAAAGCAAAATCCAAACCATTACAGGTGCCCAGGTGGGACGACAGCAGGGGCTTCCTGCCTTGCACTGCTCCCCAGGCCTGCACTTGAGCAGCCAACATCTTGCCCATCCTTCCAGCCCCTGCATCCTCCTCCCTTCCCTTCTCCAGTCACTAATTCAACTAACACTCAACTTGTGCTGATGCGGGTGCTGATGCAGATAGTGAGACAGAGTGGGAGTGTGGCAAGTCCCTGTCCTCCTGTGCTTGTGGTCTGTTTGGTACAGACAGCTCATAACGGACATGGAATGTCAGGTGGTGACTTTAAGCCCTGAAAGGAAAGTGATAGTGTAAGTGGGCTGGGTAGTTTAAGGAAGACTTAATAAAGGGATTTCCTCCAAAGGACAGGGGCTTTGGATGTCTCTCAGAGGGAGCTGGGTAGCAAGGGACTGACGGGAGTGAGCTTTGGAGGATTCTGGCTGGAAGGGGGTATGGGTGCCACTGTTTCCCTTACAGTCAGTTCTGCCTATAATTTAGCATATGGCGATGGCGACTTGTCAGAGGGGCACTTAGCCATCCTGAAACTGGGGGAGATTGGTTTTGGCCCTAGACAGCCAGCTGAGTGTGATAACTCACCACAGCCTGAGCCCTATACCAAGGAGAGGAAACCCGAGCTCAGAATACCTGGATGCCACCCTCGCCCTTCCCCCAGGAGGCAGCTGGTAGTCAGGGAGACAGACAAACACAGGAACCTGTTCTGACTCAATGAGCAAGATAGAGGGAGGCAGCTCTCAATAGAGGGCTGGTCTGCAGGACTCCAGCCTGAGGCCAGTGCTGAGCTACATGGGTGGGGTTAGCAAGTGAGGCTGGAAAAAGGTGAGTAACAGAGGTGGGGCAGGAGGGGTGAGGTTGACGCTGGCCAGCCCAGAGGACTCTGCCTTGGACCCTGTGGCTCTTGGATCCTTCCTGTAACATCTCTTTTGAGACCAATGTGGTGTCAGCTGTGGCCAGCCTTCTCCCTTGAAAGGCTGGAGCTTCTCTCAGTGTCATTGGTCCTCAGGTTGTACTCCAGCTAAGGCAGGGGTTCGTGATGTTTCTGCCAGCTCTGAATCAGTGTTGCTCCAGGAAAGTGGTGGTTGGAGCTGGTGGGCCTTCCTGCAGCTTTCTCTGGTCAGTCTGGTTCAGGACCCCCTTCACCCTCCTTTACTGGGAGGGGTCATGATGGTGTCCAGAAGCTTTTTTTTCTTTTTAGCTGTACTAGGGTTTGAACTCAGGGCTACATGCCTGCAAAACAGGCGCTCTGCCCCTTGAGCTACACCTCCAGTCCGCAAGAATTTTTTTTTTTTTTTTTGCCCTGGGGTGGTCTGGAACCATGATCCTCCAGGACTTAGCTCCCAAGAAGCTAG